GCTGCTGTAGTGCATATGGAGAGTGTGTTTTCATCCAAATTAGCTCGTTCCTGAGGGTCGGAAAAGAGTCCTTCACCTAGAATTTTATCTAGGGAGATGTCACTTCCCTTCGCCTTTTCTTGCTGTTCTAAAAGTCTAGCCTCTTGCCTGAATAAGCATTTCCATTTTAATTCCGGCCCACTCTCAAGGACTGCAGAGCTCAGCTGGAGCCAGTCCAAGGAAGTAGCTCTGCTTGTCATGGCCCAAGATTTTAGCATCTCTTTAACAAAAGAGGAGTGCATCCCGAAAGTTGTGACAGCCTGTTTAATTTCTTTGAGATCATTCATACGGACAGGCTCCTATGTATCTTCCTTAATGACCCTAGGGTTTTTGGAACCAATCACCTTCTCTGTAGTTATTACTGGAAAGGCAGGTAGAGCTGTAGTTAGAGATTTGTGGAAATTGTCCAAGAGGGATTTACCCACAGATGTAGTTAAAATTTGCCTTTCTACCGTTTGTTCTTCTTCATCAGAATTTAGAAATTCCTCAATCTTTTCAATTCTATTCACCATTGCCTTCTGCAATGTCTGTATCTCCTGTCCAGAATTATGTTCCAAAGCCTTCATTGAGGATTCTAAAGTATGAAGTTTGTCCATTAGAGATAAGTTCTCATCTTTGGACATAATTTTTATGGCATAAACTGTGCCTTCTTGTATTGACAATCTTTCCACCAATCTGTCATAAGCTGTAGACAAAACTTGATTTTACCATTCAACCATTTTAATTCTCTGAGATAATGTTTCAGTCCCTTCAGAAAGTGACTGATGAAATTTACGATTTAATTCAGCTGTTCCTTCTTCTCCTTAATATCAGCCTGAACCTTTTCTAAATTTTTTTCCAATCACCATTGTCTTGTTAAACAAAGTTCTGTTCTCTTCCTGCAGAACTTTAAAGTGATTCTTGAGAAGATCATTGTCATGTTTAATCGTTTGTAAATGTTCAACCTCTCCCTTAAGAATCCTGGATTCATCTCCAATAGTTTTTAGATGTTCAACCTCTGCCTTAAGAATCCTGGATTCGTCTCTTAAAGACTCTATCAGACTTTTGTCGTCAAACCACTTAATACCAAGGAAAACTACTAATCCCAGAAGGATCCATAGATGTGGGGTGCTAGACACCTCTTGTAGGATCTCCCACATGGCACACTCAAAAAGGCTACTGAAATTGTGTATGGTGATATTGTCAGACATTTTATTTATAAAAGGAAAATTTTTTTTTTTTACCTGTAATGACTGGTTCCTGCCAGAGGTGGAGAAAGAGTCCACTTGAATCCATGTGGAGAGTTGATCTGAAAAGACTCAAGACCGAAATTTATTCAAAGTGACCCCTTCGGGGCCAAATGTGGCAGTTTGTGTTGTAAAACTGCGAATATTTAAGCTTCCGTGTTCAGCTCCAAATGTCAAGGCAGAGAGGGAGGGGTTAACTCCTCTGGTGCTGCTAGAGGAACAAAGCGCTGGCTGCGGGCAGCTCGGGACCCGCGGCAGCCTAGGACCGGTGTGGGGGAGGTGTGCTGTTGTTGCTGTTTGCCTTTGGCTATGCGACAAGCGGGCAAGACTGCAGGCCTAGAGTGGCCTAGAGCGGGCGGGCCTAGTGGCAGCGCGACCACCCGCAGCGGACTAAAGAGTGGGTGCTGTGCCCCACGTTGGCGCGGCAAATGTGGCGGTTTGATTAATGAGGACCAATGATAATAGGTATTTGAACAAGTTTAATGACAAAACCAGACTCACGAAACCAAGGTTCCAGCGGAGTACCCGGAGTAGGCAGGAAGGGCCGAGCAGCGTCTGCGCGCCCAATTTATCAGTAAACATATGCCCGAAGGCAGCCTGCCCCCAAGGGGAGGGCTTATCCCTACAACTGCCAGGCCTGGTTATTACCATTTTATTATTTCTATTAAACTATTTGTTTAGCGTGGGGGTATAAGTGTCCATCATGGCATGAGTGTCAAGGTCAAAGGACAACCCACAGGACTCAGTTTCCTCCTTCTACATGGTCTAGGGGATTGAATTCAGGTCATTGTGCTTGGCAGTAAGATGCCCAAGCCCTCTTTCTGTCTCCATTTTGTCACTCATTATTGGGTTTTCTCATACTTCCCACTGCTAATAGTCTATTTGTACAGTAATTTTTATCTATTTTGTTTATTGGTGCACCCCTAACCTTAACTAGAGTCTGAAAGATAACAAACAATATTTGGAGCAAATGCATTAATGAGGAAGAGGAACAACCTATAGAAAATAAGCTACTGTGTGCAGGCTCAAGACTCAAACCATGGCAAGGCTCTCAGAGAATCATTCTCTGTACTCCCTTCCTTCTTCCTGCCCCATCCATTCACACCATCTTCCTTCTCCCCTCTCATCCTTTGTTCATCTATGTCCTGGGTAGCATTACCAACAGAGAGGGGCAGACCTCTTCTGGAGAGCCAAACTAAAATGCCACTACTTATGTGTACCAGGCATTTTTTTGTCCCATCAACCAGCTCCCAAATCATGACATGGAGACTTATTATTTGTTATGAATGCTCAGCCTTATGTTCCTTTCTTGGTAGCTCTTATAACTTAACCTGTGTCTTCATTTTGCCCAGAGGCTGTTTACCTTTTCTTTTCTTCTGTATGTCTTACTTCACTGCTTCTGTGTGTCTTGTGTGTCTGGGCTTCTTCCTCATTCTCTTCATTGCCCCCTTGCCTACCTTTCTTCTCCTGCTCAGTCTCTCTGCCTAGCTATTGCCATTCAGATTTTTTATTAGAGCAATCAGGTGCCTTAGGTAGCTAAGGTGAAACAGCAACACATCTTTACATAATTACACAAATGTAGTAAAATCCAAGGTAACACAGCTTTACATCATTAACAAAGGCAGCATAAACAAATATATCACATCTTTATGTAGTTAAAAAAATACTCTACATTTATGACCAATGGAGTTGACTTCCTTTTCTTCCTAAGTGGACTATTGGGTATTTTGCAGTGTGATGAAAAATTGGCTGATACAATACAGAGAGAAAATGACTCAAGCTTAGAAAGAACAATATAAGGAGTTGGCTATTCTAAATAACAATGTCAACCTAAATAACAATGTCAGCCTAAATAACAATGTCATCTAAATAACAATGTCAACCTAAATAACAATGTCAGCCTAAATAATAATGTCACCTAAATAACAATGTCAGCCTGAATAAAAATGTCAGCCTAAATAGCAATGTCACCTAAATAAGAATGTCAGCCTAAATAACAATGTCACCTAAATAACACTGTCAGCATAAGTAACAATGTCAACCTAAATAATAACAATGTATTAGTTACTTTTCTGTTGCTATGATAAAGCACAAACACGATGGCCAATTTAATTTATAGGACAGAGGGTTTATTTGTGTTGTGGTTCCAGGTATGTAAGACTCCATGGTGTGCAGCAGAGGCATAGCTACAGTAACAGAAAGCTGAATGCTTGTGTATTGACCCAGAAGCAGAGAGAGAAAACTGGAGATGGTCCAAGTTTTTAGACTCTCAAAGCCCTGCACCAGTGATGTACACCCTTCAGCAAGGCTGTGCCTCTTACACTTACCAAACAGAGCCAGCAACTGGGGACCAAATGCTCAAAATTTTGAGCCTATGGGTGACATCCTTATTTAAACCGCCACAAAAAAGCAATTATCTGACAATTAACCAATGCTTGCCAGGAATATATTGCAATGGTAACACACATTCTACTTAACTCATTGCATTCAGAATGTTTAGATAACTGCCATACTTTCATAACTGTGCCCTCTGTATTTATTTTTTAAAAAATACAGTGTAATTCTGTTTTCTTAGGATGACTGGCTTTATCCACTACTGCTGAGCAACAGTGGTTTCAGATGTATGGCTTAGAGGAATAGTACTGATCACTGATGTCATTAAACACTGTATTTTACACAAGTCATTAAATATTACATGTCAGCAAATGTAATTTTCCATTAAAGAGAAAAACACATTCATCTGATTGTTGCTCTTTAAGTGAATTTTAAAAAATGCAATTTTAGTCATTCTTCTAAGAGGCAAATACTTTTTTCTTTTTCTGGCAGGTGCATTCCTGGTTTTTCCGTGTCTTTCTTTGAACATTTGAAGCCTGATTTTCATGCTGAATCACAGAAGGCATTGGTCAAACAAATGCTGGCAGTGAGAAACATGCACAAGGTTCATTTGAAGCCAAGATTATGAGACCTGTGATTCCAGATTCTTTAACATGCATAGATGTGTTTTAGAGTTAACTTAATGGATTAGTAATTTAGGTTGCCCATTTTTTTTGGCCTCCTAAAAAGAGCCCAGAGGACTGGAAATATACTGTGCTTCTTCTTCGGAGAGCCGGTTAGCTCTACACTTCACTAGGTGTGATATGTGTGTATGATATGTGTGCCCGTGCCCAGAGAGGTCAGAGGAAGGATTCCATTGAGCTAAAGTTATAGGCAGTTGGTAACCAACCTATTTGGGTCCTGGGAACTGAGTCCAGGTCCTCACCAAGTGTGTCAAGCACTCTTAGCCTCACAGCCACCTCTCTGGTCCTACCAACCACTCTACTTTAACAAAGACAACCTTAAAGCTAAAAAGAAACCATCTTCCTCCAGAGTTGGAATTTTAGCTCATATCTATGGAGTCAGGAGGGGTAAAGTGTCAGTTCATCAAATACTTCCACGTTGTCACCTTCTGTTCGATGGGCTCATTTCTAAACAGTTTTGCTTTTGGTTAGCGAGAAGCCGTGTCTCACAGTGCAGTGCATCTAATACACTAGGGCAGTGTGGTTGGCTAACAAGTCATTGTGACTGCCTTACTTCTGCAGTGACTGTCTTAGAATGGTCATTTGCTAATGGTGGCTGATGAGATATGCATTATCTTTGGAGAATTTCTTCAGCTCTTGTAGTATATGTGAGGCAATAGATTGTTTACACCTAAAAACCTAGCAGAAAAAATACACACAGTTCTATGATTGACATGTACTTTAAATACTTTATTGGTAGTATACAGCCAATAGTAAACATTTTTTTTTAAACATCAGGGCTGAAGAGATAGCCC